GGGCTGCTTGGGGTTCTTAAGTTGAATCTGTATGTAAGTCAGAACTGGTGGTCAGTTTCAGCAGCGGCTGACACCAGTTCTGACTTACATACAGATTCAACTTAAGAACAAACCTACAGTCCCTATCTTGTATGTAACCCGGGGACTGCCTGTAATTGCAAATTTTTCTTTTAGGGTTGTATCACATGAGATGGTCCTAGATCATGGGTTATACTTCTCAAAACTGCTAACACAGCTGAGTGGAGAAGTTAAGATGTGACCACTAGGGATGTTCACTATCATGTAATTGTATACAATTTTAGCTGTTACATGACTATTCAATAGTCTCCAGGGGGCAAAGTGGTAGGAGGGAAGGCAGGTGCACAAAGGCATATATGGGGAGCTGGCTTGAAAGCCAGCTCTCACCCTCTGTGCTAAGGGTGAAGGGGATGGTGTCATCTACAAGCTTAACCAATAAGACCAAGCTTATTGGTTAACTCTGTAGTTGACTACATGGTGACATCCCTACTGACCACCTTTCAGTTAGAACACAGATCATCAGATTGAAAGATTAAGAGAAATATGTAAGGCCTACTTGGTATCTTTAACTCTGATTATGACTTGGCTCAGGTTAACATATGTAACTATCCATAATAATCAATTACAATGACCTGTGTAGCTTCCATATTCAGTCTTAATAGTATATGCCCCCCCTACTTTGTACAAAAGTTTGTGTTAATAGATGGCACAGTTGGCAACTCTACATCTGGGGTAGAGGGAACAGACAATACCCCATACTTGTCCTGGAGTTTCTAGGACTTGGGGGAGGGGGGTATATATGTAGTTATTTGGCCAGTTGAATGTGGCTAGTTCACTATGGCAATAGCCACTCTACTAGCTACTGCTTTGGAACTGGTTGGACAACACAACTCTAGGAATTCAGTTAAAAACTTATTTGGTAAAAAGAAGACTGTTTAATCAAAATTAGCAACCCTACCCTGATGTGGCTGAGAGGAAGTGTATAGGAAAGTAACCGGTTTGCTAATGAAGTCTTTCACTCTAAACAATGAATCAATTTTAAAAACTAGCTTCATGCAGCACCTACCACTGAAGTACACCAGCTGAAGAAGACCAGGTCATAATACTGTGTACACAGACAATTTCAAGGTAGCAGTTTGTATTCTTAACTAGGGATGTAACAGTGTAGATGATTAACCAATAAGCAAAAACCTTATAGGTTAACACTATAGACTACACACATTCCCCTCTCCCTGCCAGTAAATCTTCTAGCAGGCTGGCAAGCAGCCTGGCTCAGTCCTGGCTTGAAATGGGTTCAGGCCCTACCTCTGCTGCAGCTCTGCATTTAAAGTTTATTAGGAGGTAGGAGGGTAGGCAGCCTTGCCTCAGTCCTGAGCTCACACTAGGTCTAGGAACTCAACCTCCCCTCCAGCCAGGGACTGCTGCCACCTTCTCAGAGGTAGCAGCACAGGGTGACAGGCAGCCAGACTCCAAGGGGAGCTGGTTTTTCAACCAGCTTCCATCACAGATGAGCTCCTGCCTGGGACCCCAGGCTGCTGCCTCTGATACACTGGCTGCTGGCCCCACCCTCAGGGACTATAGAATAATCAACTAACCAATACAATTTTGAGGTTACTCACTTATCTGATATTTAACATCCCTACTCAACTCAACCTCTGTTTAACTTTACTAAGCTGAAGTCTGACCCCATCACTCAGGGCTGAATCATGTAACTTAGCAGAACCCCAGACAACTGTTGTGCTTGCTCCCATCCCAAAAAACTATTCTAACTCAATTTACACTTTAGACTGGACACCCAAGCAGCCATCCTTATTTTTGCAAGTGTTACCATGGGATTTAGTGATAAAAAGGTCAGGATCTACTGTAAGTTGCCTCCAAGAGACAGCACCCACAAGAACAGCGGGCCTGTATCCCCATGCTGGTGCTCAGGCTTTATACGGATTCAAAAGAAAGCATATTATTTAGGGG